CATATAGAGAGGGAGAAAGAGATTGAAAGAGAGACATGGGAGCAATGGAGAGGAGAGTGAGGTTTGAGCTATTATGGACACACGGCTGATTTAACTTGGTAAGGCATCCAACGATATAAGCTTATATGTGATTCCCATAAAAGTTTTTTTTAGTTGGGGGAAACTTTTGCAAGCCGTCATCCATTATTCAAAAACTCTCAAATTTAGATTTCAAAAAACAAGGCAAACAAGATGATAGGTCATTTGTGGCTTCATCACATCATCAAATGATCACTTCATACAATTCTGAATGAGACCCTGAAGAGAATAGAAGAAAAACGAACGAAGAGAGACTGACAAAGAGGGAGTACGTAGAGAGAGAAAGAGAGAAAAAGAGATAGGTGGTAAGACTGAGAGAGAGAGAGTTAAGAAAATGAGTTGAAGAATTCGAAAGATCCGTCAGAAGACGGAAATGTGGTTAAAGTAAAAGCTGAGTGGGGTGGTCTCTAATTTCCTACCTCTCTAGTTAATACATACGGAATACCAATCAAATAGTCACTGCAATTCCATTTGTTCTTTAGACCACCACCCTCCATTCTCCTTTCTTTTCTCTCTTTACCCCCTTGTCTCCCTTCTCTCTCTTCTTCTCTGTCTCTTCTAAGCTGTCTCTACCTCGTCTTAAAGCTTTAGCCTACTTTCTGTATCTCCCTCTCAGTCCTCATATACTTTAATTTGTAAAATCGATTTGGCGTGCACCTTTTAAGGGAGTTCAAGCTCTATAAGTTGCGACTAAAATTCTTTTTTTAATGCAAACTTCCTTTATATGGTGGTGTCATTTCACACACAAATAGTTGTCAAATTTCGTTGAAAGCTAAGAGAGAGAGATATAGAGAGATGATGATAGACTACATACAATGAAGAGAGTAATAGAAAGAGGGAGGCAGATAGAGAGAGAGAGAGGGAAAAAGGGAAAAAAAGATTTGAAAGATCTGCAGTTACTCAACCTTTTCCGGTCCTTTCTGCCTGAAAATTTACTTAGATATTCGCTCTCTTTTACTTGGTTTCTTCCTCAAATTTGGATAAAATGCGCGAACTGAATGGCTTAAAGACGAAGAAGCTGAAGAAGCTGAAGAAGACGTAGAAGAAGAAGCAGAAGAAGCAGAAGAAGGAGAGGAGGAGAGGAGAAGAGGAGAGTTGTCATGAGAGAATGTCTTGATTATAAATATATAGTTAGTTGATAGATAGATAGATAGATATAACAACTAATTGAAGTGCTTCTCTATTATTCATATAACTAGCAGATGATTGTTCCTTTTCTCTCCCTCTCCCTCTATATCAAGCTAATTTTTGTTTTTCGGCCTCTTCAACACGCCCCTTCCCTCATCAATCTTATTTTCATTCTACTCTTAATTCCGGTTTTCTTTTTCTCTCCAAATATCATTATACACAATTCCTTTTTTAGTAAATTATTCTTTTTTTTGTTTCTACTCTCTTTCTCTCTCTCTCCCTCTCTCTCTACCTCTTTACCTCTCTCTATGTCGCTCACTTCCATCGTCCTTTAGTTTTGTATTGTTTGTTTTGAGAGGAAGAATGAGATTTCGTCAAAGTGAGAAGCTTTACCAACTCGATATCAGCTTTGCTGGAATTAGACAGACAGATAGAAAGATAGAGCAAAGCTTCATATGAAAATCTTTTGAAGAAAAAAAGGATCCCCCCCCCTTCCTTTCCATCTTCCCTCTCTCCCTCTATCCTCTACGTGTCACATGCCGATGTTCTTCTTCTCATCTCTTTTCCACAAACACGTAATTTCCTTTTTTCACTTGAGACCTCAACAAAAAAAGTTTTTCCTCTTCACAAATGATTTTTTGAATTTTGAAATGCACAAGTGACTGAAACACATTTCGTCTTCTTCACAACTCGATTGATCTCAGCAGGGCTCTCACAAGCTGTTCCACGTTTTCAATATTTCTTGCATTTCTTTATGTTTAAAGCAAGTTGCTTCCTTTTCAGCAAACATCACTTTCATCTGTTAAACTACGAAGTGCCATGGATTACATCTCTTCCTTTGATATTCGTTTAAGTAAAGATGTCTACTATGCTGGAGAAAACATAACAGGAACTGTTTTATTGGAAAATTCTGAAAATATTAAAATTAAAGGTAATTCCCTCTTACTTTTACTTTCTCTCTTTCTCTCTCTCTCTCTCTCTTTCTATCTTACTCGTCGATTTGCTTGCAAGCACATTTCCATGCAATGGTTAACATGATGTATGACAGACAGTCTCTGCTATCATATATCTCACCCAAATCATATTAAGCTTCCAATTTATTCTGAAACAAACCCCTTTTATAGATAATTACAGAGTTTTCGTTTCTTTTCAGGTATCCGCGTATTACTACGAGGGAAAGTTCATGCAAACTTAAAAGTTGTTAAATCAGGAGAAAGGCGAACTATAAAAGACGATCAGTACATATTAGATGAAAAAGAATTAATATGGGGAAGAGGTATGTCTCTCTCTCTCTCTCTCTCTCTCTCTCTCTGTATTCTATATTCGTTTGTCTTCTTCCAGATAAAGCAGAAGAGTGTGATGTAATTCCAATTTTGGCTCGCGGTCTTCATAATCTACCATTCTCGTTTGCTCTTCCACAAAGTACTTTACCCTGTTCTCTGGAGAGTCGTTATGGCACAATTCGATATTATATTAAGGTTTCTATTGTTTTATATCCATATTTGGAATCAAATGGGATGTTTAAGGTTATCATAGATATACCATATGCATCATCGCCCCAGGGCATTAAATATTTCACGATTATCGGACCTCATATCGATTGTATGGAAGAGAAGTATCTGGTAGATGATCTCATACTCTTTATATGATATAGTTAACCATACATGTTATAGGCTCCATTAACAGGACAAGATCGCAAAGTCACATGTTGTTGGTGCTGTCAGAGAGGAGCTCTTGCTCTTCGAATCACATTAGATCGAACTGCTTATGTTTGTGGAGAGAATATTCGTATTCGTGCTCAAGTAATTTCTTACATTTTTCTTCCAAATTGATTTGCTTAATTTCCTTTTTTAGGTCGAAAATTGGCAATCAAGTCAGCAAGTTGTATCAATTAAGCTTATTCAGCATGTTGAATATTACATAGAAAAAGGAGTTTTAGGAGAAAATAAATCAGTCACTTGCACAGTATTTGAGCACAAGTAAGGATTTCCGTTCGAGACCCCATGTTTCATTGTTGTTCACTTCCTTATAGATCACCTCCAGTTGCGGCCAATTCTCAAGGGAAATATGATTCTACGCTTGAGCAACCATTACGATTACCAGTTGTTCCTCCTTCCCTTGTTGGTGTTACTAGACTCATCCAGATATACTATGTTCTAAGGGTATTCAATTATCTTCATTATCTTAAACATTCATCTCATTTAAGGCGTGTCTGGAAGATGAAAAAGGAAATGAATGTCTTCATTTAGATTTTCCTTTAACTGTTGCCACGTTACCATATCGAATTCCAAATTCACCTGTGCCTGCAATAGAATATGGTCAGTATTTGTGATTCTCATCAGTTGTCATCTTTCTGTTATAGATTTCTGTGCACATCATGTTGAAGGTGGGAAGTATGTGTCTCCTGAATTTAGATTAGGTCAAGTATATGATGGCGAAGGTGAGGAAGCCAATAGAGAAGAAGAGGTATACATCATTTAATGATATTACTGTATTCAATCGTATGTTCTCAGATTGTACTGTATCGACCTGTTTATGCACGTATTGCTGAACGCCGTTTAGGATCTCCTCAATTAACAAAAGATTTACGTTCCGGATCGGTAAAGCTTCAACTTCAATATAAGGTCAACATGATATTTTGATTATAGTTTACAAGGATTGCTGATAGTACTCAATCAATCATAACAGAAATCAATGGAAGAAGAAGAAGCGTCATTGTATCTTCTCCCTTAATTGGAGAGAAAGTCTCTTCACGTCACAACTTAACAGAGCATGATGATGATCCAACAGGTCCTTTGATGAGTAAAAAGTCGTAACTCCTAAATTTATCGACGAACATAGTACGGCATGGTTTGTGATATCATTCTCCCTCTCCCCCCTCCGTCTAACAAATCTTTTATTATTTTGAATTGTTTTTTTTTAATCTTCTCCAAGATCTCAAAGCCTTTTCTCATTCGTAATATGGTTTTTGAAATATCTCAATGCCTGGTTATACCGCTTCTCATTTCCTCCTCAGGTTTTTCGATTCCTACTTCTCGCATTGAAACCAAATAAACCCTTCTTACTGATGTGTGTTCTATTCGTGAATGTAGCGTTACTAGTTAAATCTATTTTATATTCTATCCCATGCTCTGTCGACATGTTCCTGAGCTATACTGCACACCGCTAACTCGGACAGCAAGTTGAAAATGGAATAATCAGCTTCCATCATGAATTCAAGGTTTGTGTGAGTTTCATTCCTCTTTAAACTTCCGTAGTGACCGGCTGTTCATCTGGCTAGAGAACAAACTTCTAGTTCTATTAATTTTTTAAAGTTTAATGAGATTCTTTGTTTATATGAAGATGATCACATCCTTTTTTACAATTTTCAATTTTTTTTTCGGAAGTTTCTATTCTGCTTTGGCGGCTTCTGTAGCGCTGATAATCTGAAAATGAAAATTAGACACAAAGCAACAAATTCTGCATATATCTGCTATATGTATGCTCTGTTCTCCTGGACCGTACAGAACCATGCAAATCTGGAGAAATAGGATAATCTTTAATCTCTTTCTGTTTGTAGTTAGTAAGCTACAGTTAGTAAGCTCAAGTACACAAACTCTGCATGTAGGAGCAGGATTTGTATATTCAGTCGATTTATAGTGTTCACTGATTGATACGCCTCCTGATTAACCGAATTTTTTTGTCTCCAGTTGTTGTGGTTATGAGTTTACAATGGAGATCTACACAACGACCCTGATGATCCTCTCGTTGTTTGGTATTCTCACTTTGATACTCTCCATTTACATATTCATCGTTGTCCCCACCAAGATGAGTGCTATGTTCCGGGCCATTCTAATAGGAAACTTCTTGACGTAAGACAGCTGAAAATTTCTTTATAGAAACCCTTTTTCTTAAAGATCCAACTTCTTGCAAATCTTCTGCTCTCTGGGTACCATGCCCTCCATTCTACTACCGTGTTTCGCCTTATATACCAATGGACTTATGAATTATACTGGAATGAGCACAATCGTACAAGTTCACATAACAGGCGTTATTTTCTCATGTAATTGCCTTACTTTTCTCTATGCGATACCTACCTCATGGGTATTTCAGTTTCGGGTTGGCTTGTTGTTTTCATTTGTCTGTTGAGAGCTCTTGCTGTTTCCGTTTACCTGACTGAACAACAAAAAACTCAAATCACTTTCGCTTATATAATTTTTTCTCTCCTCAACCTATTCCCGTTGGCAGCGATGGGAGACAAATTGAGATTTTCTGGCGATGATAAACTCTCCTGTAGTGAGGTTGACATTCGCTCTTTCGAACTATTTCACATATTGTATCTTGTAGATGTTCAACAGCCAGCCTCCACCCGAGCTATTCATGTCAGAAACTGTGGTGGTGAGCGTAAAAGATGGTTCGGACTTAGTTTTTTACCTTGGTTATTGCATATGCACCATAAGTGTCTTTTCAATGATTGAAATCGTATCAACTGTATGTCTCATATGGAGTTTGAGAATGCACAGAACACAATCCTCTTCAAGTAAAGCTCTGGAGAGTCAACACAAGCTGACATTAGGTGTTCTGAAATTGGTTAGTGCCTTTACTCAGTTGTAGGTCTAGTTCACTGTAGGCATTCTTCCAATCGATGGGTACGACTGTGCCTCCCATTGCTGTCATGTTTTGTATTATGAACGCCATTCCTTCCAGAAGTTAGTTTCTTCAATCATTCATAATTTCAAAGAGTACAGCTGCATCGGAGATACTGATGATACTGTTGGTGATTAACGTCAACATTGCTTGTATAATATTGATCAGACTCATCCCTGCCTACAAAGAACGTTTGAGCAAGATCTGCTTATCAAGTAAGGGCTTCAGTTTTAACAAGTTTATATATTCTTCAGTTTTTCCTGTGGAGCTTATAAAACGGATGACGACGCTTAAACCACAAACGGTGTCTGTACAATCAAGCGTCGTACAGTCAACTAGTAGCAGTTGATTAGAAAGCTGGCTTGAACAACGAGAAATTGCGATAATTTTTTTTTTTCAAATCTCTGTTAGATTTTTTCCGTCTGCTGATTATCTGCAAATAAAATTAGAAGTTTGGGAGACTTTTTGTGGTTGCGGGGGACGTTCGGTGCTTCTCTACTCCCGTCAGAGAGATAGGCACTTAGCCATGAACCCCAAA